GGAAAGTATCTAGATATCCCTGCCCTAATGCCAAAGTAACTGCACACTGAATATGTGTCGCCGTTTGATGTCTGACCGCTGCGTAAAAAGGAGGGTTTCTGCCCCATTACTTCTCTTCTTACTTCTATAAGAATAAAACACGGAGGACGGAGATATCTTTTTCTCCCCCTCTTCTGACAGCCCAGCAGCTGATCTAAAGCACGCTCCCCTCTCCTGCAGGGGGGCGTGGTCAGCTGCAGCACACAGAATCAGCCCCCTGGAAAAACAGCGCTGGAAAAAGCAAATGGAGCGAAATGAGGCATGGCTAAAATGCAGGATCTGTTTGGTATTTTGAAAAAAAAACTATATTTATATAGTTTATATAGGTCGATACAGTAGCCCCCTTTTTAAAATAGTTTTTATAGGTGTTGCTATCTGTTTTGTGTAGCGTGGTTCTACAAGCAAGTCAATGCATTCATTGGGTGGTATCAGAGAGTTACACGGGTCTGTAAATGCAATGAAAACAATTGGCCACAGCAAATCATTTATATTAATCATGTAATTTTTACTTTAGAATACTTCAGTACAAAGGATGTATTGAATAATTTAAGTGATATATGTGTACACATATAAATCATTAGTCAAAATAGGGCTACATTTGATTGAATTAAAAGGTATAATATGTGGTAAACTGAAGAGCCGTTTGGGAGCCGAAAGAGCCGGCTCTTCTTGGTGAGCCGAGCCAAATGATCCGGCTCACCAAGAAGAGCCGGAATTCCCATCACTACCAGGAACTAAATTAGCTAATGAAAACCTTTTTTACCCCCTTTTCAGACTTTCGTGGGAGAAAAAGGTTCCGATGTCTGATTGGCTGGGTGGAATGCAAACCACGCCCCGTAAAACTCCAAAAATGTTTTGTGAAGCCGCCATTTTATTATCCTCGCATTAGCATTATTAGCATTAGCATTAGCCCAGCGCACAAACGCAGATAGACTAACTTATGGCAACACAAAATAAAACATGGGAGCGGTGGAGATGAGAAGGTGTCTGCGTTCTGGCGATTTACTCGGAAGGCTTCAGTAGAAGCAGCTGGGAGTCCCAGTAGCTTCTACTGAAGCCAGTCCCCAACTCCGGGGACTTCCGGCCGGGGACTTAGGGTGGCAGTATACGCCGTGAAGTTGTTTGCGGCCTGCCAGTGAAGAAGAAGAAGAAGAAGAAGAAGAAGAAGAAGAAGAAGAAGAAGAAGAAGAAGAAATAAGAAAGAAGAAACAAGCAATAATAAGACGAGACAATAAGAATAAGAAAATGTAAATATAGCCTCAGACACTCCTCACTACCTCCTACCATCACTCCTCACTCCTCCTAAGCCTCGCCGCCACCTCCATCCTCCTCCTCCTCCTCCCTCACTCCTCCTCCTCCTCCTCCTCCTCCTCCTCCTCCTATAACGAAGAAGCTAACGATCAGCCTCTGAAGGTTTACATTGTTAACTTAAGCACTACCTATGGTCTGACCTTTCTACATCCAAACTCACAGGTGTTTTTCATTATTTTGAGAAAAAAGATTATGAATTTAACCCTTTTAGAAGGGAAGATATGGTCATTTGTTCTGGGAATGTCATTTTCGAGCCTGAGACCTGAAAAACAGGCTCAGGGCTTTAAGAAAACATGGGCCTCTAAAATCTTTGTTACACAGTATATTCTTTACAACAGCCTCACGTCGTCCATTGGCCAAGCTGAAATTTGATCAGCCTCTGAAGGTTTACTGTTAACTTAAGACTACCTAAAATAATTGTGATGAAGAAGAAGAGAGGAGGAGGAGGAGGAGGAGGAGGAGGAGGAGGAGGAGGAGGAGGAGGAGGAGGAGGAGGAGGAGGAGGAGGAGGAGGAGGAGGAGGAGGAGGAGGAGACGACGACGACGGGACGATGGGACGACGGTGACGGTGACGTCAGCGGCTTAATTTGCCTAATCCTCCCCCAGGAACTAATTTCGGTGTGAACGCGATCTGCTTTAGTTCATGAGAACTAAAAGAGTTCTCATGAACTAAGTTCTCAGGAACCTTTGTGGGAAAAGTACTTGGTGTGAACGCACCTATTGTGCCTAATCACAGCTCTATATTTAAACTCTCTTTCAAAATGTACTTCCAAATTTAAACAGTCTTATATTTGGGCTTATAACAGAAACTGAGACAGCCTGAGAGGCCAAACTCAGGGCAGAAAAGTCCCGTTATAAGACACCATCCCATCCATTAGCCAAACACTCGACCTGGTTCTTGTCAACCCCACAGAGGTGTCAGCATGCAAACCTGAGGTAATGAGGAACGCTCAAACCGCCTCTTCTTCAACTGTGGCTAACGGTCCAGGCGTCACCACGTAAACAGTACACATCCCTGCAGCTCCTGCAGAGAAGATTACAACTGAAAACAAAAAACACAAGATAATCATTAAACAATAACAAAAGTGAAGGTAATACATAACAAATAAGTACAATTAAATGAAATAAAGAAAGTCAATGATTTGCCTGAAACACATTCTTGCCTCTCGACCGCGCAGAGAAATACAGACGTTGCAGCCTTGAACAGAGCTATTTGTAATATGGCACATCAATTAGCGAAATAATGTAGTTACCTAAAGATATGTCTTAGCATTCAAAGTGACACTAGGTGTTGTATTGAGTAGTAGCTAGTTAGCTGGAATTAGATATTAACATTAGCAGCTAAGATTTGTGCAGATAATTACTGAGGAGTTCATCCCTTACTGTTCTACTTGTGTTTTTGTAAGATGAAGCCCGAGAGATCCCCGGTTCCGGGGGCCTCCTGCAACATCTTGCAGAAAACAGTGTCTGAGGGCATGTTCATTTAATAAACTATGAATGTTTTATATCCATGTAACGGAAAGAAAGTCATCTAACTGATCATTTAAAAAAAAAAATTCAAAAAAAATCCCACAATGCTAACGCTGAGCCTCTGAATTAGTAACGAGCGAAAAATGCGAACAGATGACTGCACCGAAATTCACTCACAAAACCTTATTATTTATCTTTGCTGCACATCTCAACCCATCGTCTCACATCGTGAGGGGACACATAATCGATGGGTACCCTCATTATCACTCAATTATACGAATTCTCGGAGATAATAACATCAAAACATATGGAGCTAGTTAGCTAAAAACTGCAAAATGGCTCACCTGTGTGGTAGTCTGGTCAAAAGTGGTCTTCAATGGCATTAAAAGAGGGGGGCCAGAGATAAGGAAAGGGGGGCCAGAGATAAGGAAAATCCACCCAAATGGCCCCAGAAGAGGTTTTTTTTGCTAAATCTGTCTAAAAAGGTCAAATATCACTTGTTTTGCATCAATCTTGATACAGGGTACTTATTATATGTTGTACTTTGGATTCCTAAAGCTTTTAGTCTACTAACCCATCATCCAAGGTTAGTTTTCACTACAAGTACAAAATATTTTTTGGACGGACACTATAATTTACAGTTTTTTACCATGTTCAATCTGAATTTTCTTTCAAATAAAAACATATTTTTCTGACTTTTCTACATCCAACTCACAGGTTTTTCATTACTTTGAGAAAAAAGATTATTAATTTAACCCTTTTAGAAGGGAAGATATGGTCATTTGTTCTGGGAATGTCATTTTCGAGCCTGAGACCTGAAAAACAGGCTCAGGGCTTTAAGAAAACATGGGCCTCTAAAATCTTTGTTACACAGTATATTCTTTACAACAGCCTCACGTCGTCCATTGGCCAAGCTGAAATTTGATCAGCCTCTGAAGGTTTACTGTTAACTTAAGACTACCTAAAATAATTGTGAAATAACTGTGGCTGCAAAGGAGTGTGGACGTCTTTCAACCAGAAGGTTGTGGGTTCGCTCCCAGACCGTGCAGTCAACATGTCGATGTTTCCTTGGGCAAGATACTTAACCCCATAGTTGCTCCCGATGGCATATCCAACGCTGTGTGAATGTGTATGAATGTTAGCTTCCCTGAGCAAGTGGCACTGCTCTGTATGAATGAGTTGTGAATGGGTGAATAACTTGTAGGATGTTAAGTGCTTGAGGGGTCGTAAAGACCTGATAAAGCGCTTTATAAGTCAAATCCATTTACCACTTCAGTGGTTGTGTCTGTAGATGGAAACCCTCTCTTTGTGAAACTTTGCAAAAACTAAGCTAAACAACCTATCCTTACCTTAACCAACCGAGGTCCATGCCTAACTTAAAGGGGACCTATCATGCAAAATGCACTTTTGTACGTCTTTTATACATGAATATGTGTCCCCGGTGTGTCAGGGAACTCACCAAGTGTCAGAAAACACAACCCTCTCTCTTTTCCTCCATACCCAAATCTCTAAAAACGGGGCTGCAACGGAGCTGATACAGACGTTAATTTTTCTGACGTCAGAAAAGGGGTGCTCCGCCTATATGGGCAACTCTCCACCTATCAGGGGAATGGGGGGTTGGGCCACGGCCATTGCCACTCGAAAGCGCTGTAGATGCTGTAGTACATATGCCAGGCCTGTAAGTGGCGCTGTAGTCTGTCACAAAAGCAGCGAAGAAGACTTCTCACAGAATCAGCCCTTGCAAAAACAGGGCTGGAAAATAGCAAATAGAGCGAAATAAGGCATGGCTAAAATGCATGATCTGTTTGGTATTTTGAAAAAAAACGTGTTTTATATAGGTATGGCCCTACAATATATGTTTCAAATATAGCATGATAGGTCCACTTTAAACCATCTCCCATGGCTAGACAAAACCCACTTCATTGGCTGAATCTTTTAATTTGCTAAAACATTATAGTTGAATTAAATTCACCAATCAAATCCACTTAAAAAGTGCTAAACTAATATTTAACAATTACTTCGAAAAGGGGTTAGCTGAGTGATAACTTGTAAATAATACAAAAATATCGTTATTTTGTTGCTTTGGTGGTCAGTGGTGGTCAAACATGATTTGGAGAGAGCTGTTCCTTTAAGACTTTATTATGCAGTGTCAAACTGAAAACAGTAAAAACCTCAGGAGGACAGCAGAGTGGAAACTAAAGGACATCCTGAACACACACACACACACACACACACACACACACACACACACACACACACACACACACACACACAACCACACACACACACACACACACACACACACACACACACACACACACACACACACACACACACACACACACACAGTCATTCATCCAATGCAACAGTGCTTATCCTTGAAAGTCAGTTTTTTCAGATCATCTGGAGAAAAAGTCCCAAATATTTGGAAACCAAAAGTTCAAACAGTGTTTGTTCCCAGCGACTGTCCGTTGACTTTGATTTGAATCATCAACTTGCTGACCGAACAGGAAAAACAACGCCATTGTCCAAGTTATTACAACCAGAGAATTTAATTGAGTCAAATAATGTCCGACCTGTCTCTTCTAGTCTTCAGAGGACGGCCAGGTCGTGGCAGCTCTTGGAGCGCACTTTGACCGCCATGCGCTGGTTGTTGCGTGCCACCAATCGGTCCAGGAAGCGGCGAGCCTTCTGGGTAATGCTCTCTTTGCGCTTGTAGAAGGAAGTTCGGCGCTGAATGGCGTTGCTGCCGCCCCGACGGAGGCGGATCTGTCGGATCACGCCCTCGAACAGCTCGGTCACGTTGTGCTGCAGAGACGCCGACGTCTCGATGAATTTACAGTCAAACACCACCGCACATGCTCGGCCTTCTGAGAAACAAAGGACACATACAGGAAGGGAGATTAATTATCATAATACCATCAGTCAATCACTATTCATTTGTGTCATATTTTGCATTATAACACGGTTTTGTTGAATACTCGATTCTTATTGGTCAAGTTTGGACATGACTGCGGTTTGCAACTTCTCTAAGAAGATTAAGGAAACTCTTTCTCAACTCATTCTCTTTCCTTATCGGGGTTTATTTTAGCAAAAATAACCTGTGCTTTGTCCATTATCTCTCACGTATGTACTCTGTGACCTTTGACGCCCACCTTCCACAGAGACTTCTCTGGACCGGACCAGGTCGCTCTTGTTGCCCACAAGGATGATGGGAATGTTTTCGGCCTGGCGGGTGCGTCGCAGAGTGATCCGTAGCTCAGAGGCGGCTTCAAAACTGCAACGGTCGGTGACCGAGTAGACGATGGCGTACGCACTCCCGACCTTCAGACTGGGATCTTGCGAGGAGTCTTCCTCCCCCTCCTGCAAGGAAGAGAGACATGGGAAAGAAACATGTTCATTAAAAAAATTATATTTAAGATATAATTAGAGGAGGAATACCATTTGGATTCTTAGAACGTTTTTTCTTTCATTTATCATACAGCCTCCTTGCTTATTTATAATAAAAATGACACATTTATCCTGGTTTATGGAATTGTTATCTTTATGTAGATCACAAAATAATATTATAGTTATTACAAGAAAACACACACACACACACACAATGTACCAGTTTGTCGTTCTCCCAGGTATCCATGACGATAAGTGTTGTTTCCTCTCCATCTACTGTCAGTTTCCGCTCGTATGAGTCTTCTGTAACAAACAAGAGAAAATAAGACTGAGAATCTGTGTGTGGCTGAACTATAGACAGTATTCTCACACTTGCTAATGTGCTAACAACATCATGTTAGTGTTGTTATGCTATTATGCTGATGTTAGCACGTTAGCACGTGTTTAAACATAGAATGTTTACAGCGTCCATTTTACATTTTGGCATGTTCGAATGCTAACAGTTGCCCATTAGCAATGAACACACACTGAGCCTTAAAAGTTCAAAGGTTTCAAGGATCCGTTATGCTAATTCTGCATTATAGTATTTCATTTATTCTACAAAATCATGACAAAAGCAAACAAAAAATGTAGTCCTATATATGTTTTTTCTATTGCATGTAAACAGTAGCATCAAAAAGAAGGGGGAATAGTCTTTAACATTGAACCTCTGACATCAGGGAAACTTTGACGTTTGAGCACCGAGCATCATTGATGTGAACAGAGTCCGCCTCACACAAGCTGGCAGATACTCTGTTTTGTGAATAGATCTGCCCAACTATATTATTCTGCTTCCCCTTCTGCTACAGGGCCAAGAGTGGGAATGACAACATTCTCCTTAGAACAAAATCATTTTTTAAGCTGTTATTTTAAGCAAAGAAATGTGGCTTTAAAACCTTAGATATTTCAGTGGTGGACTAACTCGCCAACATCGTTGGGACCAACAGCAAATGAAACCTGCCTATTGCATCTGGGATTTTAAAGAGACAAAGAAAAACCTGGTTAACAGCTACAACATAATTCATACCTTCAAACAACAGCATCAAGGACTGTAAAATTAAAGCAGGAACTAAATAATGGGGCTCAGTCAACCGGAAAACAGCAGACAGGCCCTTCCCCCTCACACCATGTCAGACCGTCACTTGATCAATCCATCAATCATGGCTCCAGGCCAATCAACACGTGACAGAGGACAGATCGAAGATGTCAGGTCAGTGAAGGTTGGGATGTTACAACAAAGTCAGAAACTGAACTGCTGAGTCAAGTTATGAAAGCTACCACCATACGCACCAACTGTTACATGTTGGGCAGTTGTAGTTGATTATTAAGTTTCTGTGGTTATTTTACTCTCTTTTTTGCCAGGAAAACAACACATTTAGATTGTTAAAAGCTAACTGAACTGCTTTGAAGATATGCCACATTTCATTACATTTTTAAATATAAATAAGAGATCATTTATACAAATGTGAATGAGAAAATATAACTTTTTGAAAAATTCCATTATAGGTCATCTTTCACTTCTTGTGTTTTTTATACAAATTGCAATGTTCGGGTCACTGATCTGACTCAAGGACAGTGTAAAACTCTCACATGGCCAAAATGTTCTTTCAGTTTTATTTGTAAACAAACATCACGTGCACACAGAACTCCTGTCCGATCACAAAATGTCAGAACTGTGTCCAACCAGTGACTTCTCCCCATGTCGTCTGCTGCCCATTGTCCCAAAGGCCTAATAGCCCAAAACATTTCCCAATGGACCAAATTTGTCTGACAGTCCATTACTCCAAAATCAGATGCCCATTGCAACAAGAGCCAAATGTTTCTAAAATGCACTCTCTGCAACATACAGAAGCACAAGTCCAATATCTCTACATAATGGCAAAGGCCTGATTACCCTACCTGCCACAATTGACTTCTTATGATAATATTGCCGAACCAACCCAACCAATGAAGCTAGCGAAAGTAGTGTTGATCTTCCTATCTAGATCATGGAAAGAACCGTAGTTCCTCAAACTTTTATTTGAAGTTATGCAACCTGCTAGTTTATCCTGCAACAAAGAACCACACTTTTTTTTTTAAGTTGTTGACAGGAAACCAAAGACTGCCAACAAAATCACTGGTTAGTCTTGATAAAGGTTGATAACCGTATTTGTTAACTGACACTGTAACGATTTAAAGTTGGCTTACATTTGCCAACAAGAGCTACCAGACATTAAAACCTGAACCTGTGTTGCACTTACGGCCCGTCCACACAGCGGCGTGCGTTGAAAGCTTCACCATTCACTTTGAATGGGGTGACGTCACTTTTCGCCGAACTGCATGGCGGGAAGCGACGCGGAGCTTTGCTGGCGTGGCTCGATGCAAAAGTTGAGCAATGTTCAACTTTTGACGCCTCGGCAGAAGCGTCAGCCAATCGAATCATATGCCAGTACAAGCTCTAGCCAATCAAACCGCTGCTTGTGTGTCAGGGGCAGGAGATTCATGTGATTGGTGGTTTCAGACACGCACAGGCCCGCCGGCAAGCTTCAACGCACGCCGCTGTGTGGACGGGCCGTTAGTAAGGAGTCCTTTATTGCTTGCAAACTCAACATTTTATTTTAGGAGGAATTATGTTTTTCTCTTGTTAAGAAGTTACATATTCTGACTTTAAACCTACTATTGAAAATAAGGCAAGCTTGACCTCTTTTAGATTAATGGCATATTTCTATGATAAACTATTGTATTAGTTTTAGGGTGGAATGGTATTGATCACCCATAGACTTTATAGGGATCAAAAGCTGAACGAATCAGAGGTAACATCCCACCTCCAGGTTGTTCCTCTTTCTCTGTGATCCCGGCAAAGATTCCTGCCAGGCTGGTCTTTCCGACACCTTGGTCGCCTAGCAACACAACTCTGTAAACACAGTCCGAGTCACTCTCCGAGTCGTCGTCCGAGTCCGAGCTCCACTGGGCTCGGTAGTGCAGGGACTTGTCTCCAGGGTGGTAGGACGCAGACTGTCCCAGGGGAGGGTGGCTGCGGGGGGCCTCGGGCTCCTGGTGGTTGCTCCTGGGAAGCCGGGGGTCCTGAGGGTCTTGGGTCAAGGATGGGTGCTTGTAGAAGTGGGCTGGGGGGATGGGCGTGCTGCCTCTCCGCCGCAGGGGCTCCTTCCCTCTCTGAGTGTTCAGGGTCATGGTGCTACGGTACAGGCATCAGGACAGGACGGGCCTGGTGGGGAGATGAGAGGATTCAGAATAAAGTCTGGTACACTAGCGTCTTTAAGGTTATTGAAAAGTCTTTCGAACAACCAATTCAGTGTTACTCTGGCATAATCCCAGTCTTTCTGAAAATATGAAACTTGGAACATTTCTTTTTGTTTTCATTCATTTTCTAAGGCAAAACAAAGATCTATTTTGCTGCCATCGTGTAGTTTAAACTTTCTAGTGATGATGAAGTGTACTCCAGTGTGTGTCCGGCCCTGGTTACAGAGGCAGTCTAAATCAAATTATTTCCTTAGGTACTTTGCTGATTTTCTCAGTCAAAATTGGACCCTTAATGTTTAGAAAACTTGAATAAAAGCTAATTTTGTTCATTGCTCTTTTCTCAGTAGGACTGCCCAATATATAAAACATTTTTTATCAGCATCGCGATGACAACATGCTTGATAACCACTGCACAAAAAAAGTGACTCTTGTTTTAATGTCCTGATAAGGGTGTGTGGCATTGGGTGTTGTGTACAATACAACTTTACTTTTTCATTTTTGTCTGTTAATAAAAAAAACTGGATTTTCCTTAGAAAACTAGAAAACTATTAGTTTACTAGCTAGTGTATGAAGGGGTATCTGACATGCTGTTGCTCCAGCTGTGGTTAAGTCTAAACATAGCTTAGTTTTCTTCACTTATAACAAAGTGAAGAATTCATATTTATTGTAACCACCTTTGCTTTCTCACTGTCTCAGTCCCCACCAACTCATAAAGCTGGCAATGTCCTTGATCTCATATTCTCAAGGAACTGCTCTACTTCTAACCTCTCTGTAAACCCGCTCCACACCTGGGATCACTTTTTCATATCATTCTCTCTACCCCTTTCCAAACATAACAAACTAATCTCTTCTCATTCTGCACCTGTCGGCCGTAACCTTCGTTACCCTCCTCTACTCTTACCTCATTGGTGCTCTCAGCCCTCCCTTCATCTGACTCTTTCCAACTTCTGCCTCCAAACTCTGCTGCAGAAACTCTCCTCTCTACTCTTTGATCCTCTCTGGACTCTCTCTGTCCTCTCACATCTCGGCAGGCTCGTCAGTTCCCTCCTGATCCCTGGCTAAATGACGCACTGCGTGCTAATAGAACCATCCTTCGGGCAGCAGAGCGGAAACGGTGGAAATCCAAACACCCTGACGACCTCCTAACCTATCAGGCTCTCCTCTCCTCTTTCTCTTCTTCGTTCTCTCAGGCAAAAAGCACTGTCTTTCAAGATAAGATCCAATCTTCCTATTCCAATCCCAAAAAACTATTTTCTATCTTCTCCACCCTCTTGGACCCCCCCAGAGCCCCTTCCCCCTCCTCCCTTCTGTCAGGCGACTTTATTAACTACTTTGAAAAAAAGGTTGATGATATTCGCTCTTCTTTTTCTGACTCACCTTTACTCACCACTGGGTCACCAGACCCACCGTTCACCCACACACTAACCTCCTTTTCCCCTCTCTCTCCAAGTGAGGTTCATACCCTCATTACCTCTGCCTGTCCTACCACCTGTCCTCTGGACCCTATCCCCTCGAACCTCCTTCAGACTATCGCTCCTGATATTCTACCGTTTCTCACCCATCTCATCAACACTTCTCTAACTTCTGGTCACTTTCCAAACAGTCTCAAGGAGGCAATAGTAAACCCTCTCCTAAAGAAACCCACTCTCAACCAGTCCGATGTTATAAACTACAGGCCTGTCTCTCTCCTCCTGTTCCTGTCTAAAACACTTGAACGCGCTGTCTTTAAACAACTCTCTTGTTATCTCAATCAGAACAACCTTCTTGATCCGCACCAGTCTGGTTTCAAGGCAGGTCACTCAACAGAAACTGCTCTCCTGGCTGTCTCTGAGGAACCGCACACTGCTAAAGCAGCCTCCCTCTCCTCTGTCACCATTCTTTTGGACCTGTCTGCTGCATTCGACACGGTGAACCATCAGATCCTTCTTCGCACTCTCCAAGAACTTGGAGTTTCAGGCTCTGCACTTTCCCTCCTCACCTCCTACCTCAAAGACCGCACCTACAGGGTAACTTGGAGAGGGTCCGAGTCCGACCCTTGTTAATTATCTACCGGGGGTCCCTCAGGGCTCTGTTCTTGGTCCCCTCCTCTTCTCCCTGTACACAAACTTGCTCGGATCAGTCATTAGTTTGCATGGTTTTTCATAACATTGCTACGCTGATGACACCCAACTAATTATGTCCTTTCGCCGCTCAGAGACCCAGGTCGTCGCACGCATCTCTGCTTGTCTAGCTGACATCTCTCAGTGGATGTCTGCTCACCACCTCAAGCTCAACCTTGATAAGACTGAACTGCTTTTTCTTCCGGGAAAAGAGTGTCCCACTCTTGACCTAACAATCAACATCGGCCCCTCTGTTGTTTCCCCGACTCAGACTGCAAGGAATCTGGGTGTGACCCTAGATGTCCTTCACTGCAAACATCGCTGCCACAACCCGCTGCTGCAGATACACTCTTTACAACATCAGAAGGATACGTCCCCTCCTGACCCAGAAAACGACGCAACTTCTGGACCAGGCTCTCGTCATCTCACGCCTAGACTACTGCAACTCCCTCCTGGCTGGTCTACCTGCATGTGCCATCCGACAGCAGAAAGGTTACACATCTTCCGGCGCAGACTGAAAACTCATCTCTTTCGACTCCACTTCGAGCAATACAAAATACATTTTAAAAAAGCACTTATATACTAATTAAGCACTTACATACTAACAAAGCACTTATATACTAACAAAGGACTGGCTTATCTAAAGCCAGTTGAATAGCACTTAACATGGTTTGGCTCTATGACACCTAATGTACTTATATGTTTTCTTCAAGTTTGTATCTTCTTGGTCGACTGCACTTATTGTAAGTCGCTTTGGATAAAAGCATCAGCTAAATGCAATGAAATGTAATGAAAACAGGCCACCATATGAGACAGATGTAAATTACAGTTAAGATGGAAAAAAAACGTTCTGAGGGGACAAGTGATTCGTTATGAAAAGTAGTAATGGAAAACTTTAGAAAGATAAGCGAGATAATAGAAGAGTAACTGCAGACTTGTTTTTCCGATATTTACATTAGGTGCACATTTCTTGTGACAGATTACACGCCTCTACATTCATGATGACACTGAGCATGCTTTGTATTATGTCTTAAAGTGTACTGTTTGATTTAATGCATATTATTGCATACATTACTTTTTATCTTTCTTTAAATAAAACAGTCAATAGCAATGTCTCTTAGAGTGAACGATGTAGACTACCTCAAAGATCAGCATAAATAATAATAATACAAAAAAACTGATTAGACTAAACATGATTTGAATCCTGGTTACCAGAAACCCTATGGACCCTCTAGTATGCATAAGAGAGCACAGACACACAAACAAACCTCCTACAATAAATAATTCAAGGGTTTAAAGGCACCAAGTACACACAGTGATAGTGAGGGGGAGTGACACCAGGTCAGATATACCCTCTGTGGAAGTAGATGGTTAACATTCTTCCTGTAACTTAATCTTATTTATATATTAAATATTAAAAAAACAAAATTATACACTTTTCAAGTACCAGACAGTCAGGAGGTCAGAGGTATGAGTTTTTGTCATCTATAGTAAAATGTGCATTACATGACTGCTAATTGAAAAGAGTTAATGAAGTAAATCAGATATATTGGAGAAAGTGATGTCAAACAGAAACCCGTTCTTAAGAAAGCACAAGAAATGTAGGTTTTCAGATATATCCAGATTATACTTTATATTTGAAATTAATTAAATATAACCATGTTAATCCTGTGAACTTCATCATATGATAAAATGTCCAAAAATGTGCCTAAATGTACCATGTGATATTACATGTGATTTCTTTTTTACATTTAAAATATCTTAAAACCAATGCTGATGTACAGTAATGTGAATTTGGAGATTTCACATTTCCTTTCCGAGTGAGATACAATAACAAATGTGTGAAAACAAACATTTCACACATGTTTTCGTTAAAAAAAGACCTAAATTGTTAATACAAATGTTTCATTTAATAAACTATAGATAGAGACCTCGGCAGCAAATAACATTGAATAGTAGGATAGAGTAACTTACCGTACTCCCCATGAACAGTGGTGTGTCCGTTCAGCCTCGAGAAACAACAGAAGTGAACTCTCTCTGTCTCTGTCCTGTAACAGTACCCTGGTGCCACAGTAACCCGCATGGAAAAAAAAAGTTCCACAACAGCGTTAAAAATTCAGCAGTGGAATCACAGAGTTATCTACCTCCCCCTGTGTGTGTGTGTGTGTGTGTGTGTGTGTGTGTGTGTGTGTGTGTGTGTGTGTGTGTGTGTGTCAGTGCGACAGCAGAGGAGAAACAGATAACTGAGGGGGGAGTTTGTGTGTGTGTGTGTGTGTGTGTGTGTGTGTGTGTGTGCATGCATGTGCATGTGTGTCTGTGTGTTGTTTTATCAGTGTCAGTGTGGAGGGTTGAGTTGCTTTAGGGAAAAATGTGGTCACTTCCTTTGACCCAAAAGACACAGTTTTGCTTCATGAAACCCTTCAAACTGATTTACAAATGAAACATTTGATTATAACAAAGTCAGATTCAAGAAGGACTTTTAATATAACCAGCATAACATTCTGAATAAAAACACCATGGGCTCAGTGAAAGCTTTCAATATTCAGGTTATTCACTTACATGGAAGTTACAGTAATTGGATTTAAAGTAAAGAGTATATTTTGCCCATGAAGAAAATGTTTACAAACTAGCAAGCAGATAAAACGGCTAGCTAAACAAATAGCCAATGAACTAATTGTCACAAGACACATTTATTGTTGTTTGTTTGGTTTGGCTCATGTTAACTCTCCTGTCATTTCAGATCCCGCCTTTCTCCAGGCTCTTGTAATCAGCTCACTTCCCTCACCTGGCCTCCCCAGTCCTTCCGCTCACTTGTTACTCATTCCCTCATTACTCCACAGTACTTATACCACCTCACTATCTCTTGTCCTTTGCCAGATTGTCTTGTCTTTTCTGCCAAGCTCTTCAGTATCTTGTCCTGCCCGGTTTTAACCCCTGCCTGCCTATATTCGGATCTCGAGTTCCTGCCTACCCACTGTCTGGTTTTTGTTGCCTATCTGACGGATTTCCTGGCTCTGACTCTGACCCTGCCTGTCCCAGACCTGAATAAACTGAACATTGCTAAAAACTGGTTTTATCTGAGTCGTGTTATTGGGCTCTGATCTGTACCTGTGATCGTGACGTACAATCTGGCCAACATGGACCCAGCCGACTCAGCGACAGAACCACCGACGCAAGATGTCATGTTACAACGCCACGAGCAGCAGCTTACCTTAATGGCTGAAGCTATGCAGACGATGGCCGCTCGTCACGAACGGACCTTTGTGAATCTCCGTGATCATCTTCAGAACCTTCCTCCTACGGTCCAAAGTCAGGATCTGACTCCAGCTTCCGCTGTTCGATTCCAGAATCCTCCGGCGTCGGATGCACGCCTGCCTCCTCCGGAACGCTACTCTGGAGCCCCAGGTTCGTGCAGACCATTCCTGGTCCAATGTTCCCTCGCCTTCGAGCTCCAGCCTTCCGCCTTCCCAACAGAAAGATCCCGGGTGTCGTATATTGTCTCTCTTCTCACGGGCAAAGCTAAAGACTGGGGTACCGCCGAATGGGAGAGACAATACATTGCCTGCTTGTCTGTAAACGTATTCTCCGATGAACTGCGTAAAGTTTTTAATCACGCTACACCCGGAAGAGAGGTCGCTCGGGGACTGTTTAACCCGGCGCAAGATTACTCCATCGAGTTTTGTACCATAGCCGCCGAGAGTAACTGGAATGCTTCTTCACTTCTCGATGCCTTCTACAACGGTCTGTCAGATCGCCTTAAAGACGAACTGGCAGCTCGGGACCTTCCTGCTGATTTAGATGTGCTGGTGGCTCTCTCCATCTGAACAGGTGAGAGGAGGATTTTCAAACTCTTCTGAACCAATGCAGCTGGGGCGGACCCGGCTCTCCGAGGCAGAACGACAGCACCGCTTGCGGGATAACAGCTGTTTGTACTGTGGCCAGGAGGGTCAGTTTGCCTCCTCTTGTCCTGTAAAAGGTAGGGCTCACCAGTCATCCAGAGGGCGCTGGTGAGCCAAATTATGAATTTAGAAATGCCCTCTCGACCCCTAATCCATGCTCAGCTGAACGGCTCGGGGAAAATGCACACTGTGGCAGTTCTTATTGACTCTGGTGCTGATGCCAGTCTTTTGGACATAACACTGGCCTTCCAGATGGGACTTGGTCGGGAGGTTTTGGAGAAGCCCATCAATGCTACAGCTCTAGATGGTCGTCTTCTCTGCAGAGTGACACACCGATCAACTCCTGTTCAAATGAGCATGTCAGGTAATCACAGCGAAACACTCTCTTTTCACCTTATCCATGCACCACATCAGCCTGTCATTTTGGGGTTTCCTTGGTTAAGGAGGCATAATCCTCATATTGATTGGGCTTCAGGGACTATTAGAGAGTGGAGTGCTCATTGTCATGCTGTCTGCTTAAAATCTAGTTCCTCTATTGATTCCAGTCAGCCGATTACCTCTGAGTGTAAAGACATTTCCGGTGTTCCCAAGGATTACTGGGACCTTAAAGGGGCCTTTAACAAGGTTCGGGCCACCTCACTCCCGCCTCATCGTGCTTATGACTGTCCTATTGACCTGTTACCTGGTACAAGTCAATGGAGAAGTATATCAATGACTCTTTGGATGCAGGACTTATCCGGCCTTCATCATCTCCTGCTGGTGCAGGTTTTGTCTTCGTGGGTAAGAAGGATAAGACTCTGCGCCCATGCATTGACTACAGAGGACTCAATAACATCACTATTAAGAACAGGTATCCCCTTCCAATTGTTTCCTCTGCATTTGAACTGTTACAAGGTGCTACTATTTTTACCACGCTGGACCTACGTAACGCGTACCATTTGGTGAGAATCAGGGAGGGGGACGAGTGGAAGACGGGATTTAATACTCCTAGTGGACATATGAGTATTTTGTCATGCCTTTTGGACTTACCAATGCACCTGAAGTCTTCCAGGGGCTGGTGAACGATGTTCTGCAGGATCTACTCAATATCTGTGTTTTTGTATACCTGGATGACATTTAGATTTTTTCCAAGTCAAAACAGGAGCATGTGGTTCATGATCGCCTAGTCCTCCAGAGGCTCTTGGAGAACCACCTGTTCGTCAAGGCCGAGAAGTGTTTGTTCCACACCACAGAAGTCCCTTTCCTGGGATTTGTGGTCTCCACCGGAAACATCAAGATGGACCCTGACAAGACCAAGGCGGTGACTGACTGGCCACGCCCTTCAACACGCAAGGAGCTCCAACGCTTTTTGGGTTTCGCCAACTTCTACCAGAGGTTCATTCGAAACTACAGTTTGGTGGCAGCCCCTCTCACAGCTCTCACCTCTCAGAACATTCCCTTCGGGTGGTCTTCAGTGGCAAAAGGGGCTTTTGGTGAGTTAAAATCATGCTTCACCTCCAGTGTTGGGACTAACGCGTTACAAAGTAACTAGTACGCGTTACAGCCAGTAACTAGTACTCTAACTCATTACTTTTTTAATTCAGTAACTCCGTTAGTTTTTTTTATATAATCAACAGCCAGGCGAACAGAGATGAGTACTGTACTTAAGTACAGTAATTGAGTAAATGTACTTAGATACTTCCTGTGTCACATGCGGAGACGCGCTGTGGGCGTGTTTGTGTTGTTTACTAACAAGACTATCATGGCGGCGGCGGAGCTCAAGTCTAGTTTCTCCACCTGGAGATATTCTCACTATTTCACTTTTGTCGAGCACAAAGAAAAGAACGTTTTAGTTAAATGTAAGTTGTGTCTTGGCGGGTCAAAGATCCTATCTACTGCCCAAACCAGTCATTCAAATATCTTAAAACATCTGCAAAAACAACATGCTGGGACGAAGCTAGTAGCTAAGACCACAGAGACTCAGCCGACGCCACTCCACCTCCACCTAAGCAACAGCGGCTGGATTTTAACCAAGGGACTGCTAGCCAGGGAAAAGTCGATAAAGCCATTGCACGGTATGTTGTAGAACACATGCAGGCTATTGCTACAGTGGAGTCACCCGCTTTCAGGGAGCTAGTTAGCATGATACCATGTCCGGGCGGCACAATGCATATGGGACGGAAAACTTTTTCCAACTACCTGGAGAAAGAATATACAAAAATGGAAAGCCAGCTAATATCGATGCAATCCAGATTGCATATAAGGCATGTCAAGTTGATCAACAGATTGTATTATTCTCCAATGCAATAACAGTACTGAAAGGAAGGCTATAAGGGCACTAATAAAAAAAAAAAAAAGTAAGTAACTAAAACGTTACTTTTCACAGTAACGCATTACTTTTTGGTGTAAGTAACTAGTAAAGTAACTGAGTTACTTTTGCAATGAAGTAACTAGTAATGGTAACTAGTTACTGGTTTTCAGTAACTAGCACAACACTGTTCACCTCTGCTCCTATTTAGATTTTTCCAGATCCTACTAGGCAGTTTATTGTCGAGGTAGATGCGTCGGACACTGGAGTTGGGGCAGTTCTTTCTCAACGGTCGGCCGAGGATCAGAAAATTCACCCGTGTGCCTTCTCTCGGAAGCTGTCCCCAGCAGAAAGAAATTATGACATTGGTAATCGAGAACTGTTGGCGGTGAAACTTGCCCTGGAAGAATGGAGACACTGGTTGGAGGGAGCAGAGCAGCCTTTTGTGGTCTGGACTGACCACAACAATTTGGAGTACATCCGTTCAGCAAAGCGGCTGAACTCTCGTCAAGCCAGATGGGCTCTTTTTTTCACGCGCTTTGATTTCTCTCTTTCATACAGACCTGGTTCTAAGAACATCAAACCTGACGCCTTGTCTTGCCAGTTCCAGCCAGAGAGCTCTCCATCTCATCCTGAGAATATCATCGCTTCTACATGTGTCATTGGTCTGGTGACCTGGGAGGTGGAGGATAAGGTCAAGCGCTCCCATCCTGAACACCCAGCCCCAAGTGCCTGTCCTGTTAACCGTTTGTCCCTGCCACTCTCCGTACCCAGGGTCTCCAGTGGGGTCATAACTCTCGCCTGGCTTGTCACTCAGGAGTGACACGGTCCCTAGCCCTGATTCGACAGCGATTTTGGTGGTCTTCCATGGAGAAGGATACCAAGGAATTCATTGCTGCTTGCCTAGTCTGCTCCCAAAATAA